GCTGCTGCTGCTGAAGTTGCTGCAGGCTGCACGCTGCTGCTGCCTCCTAGCCTCTGGGGTTTGTGTCGCTGCGTTATCTGCGCGCCGCTGCCTCGTCTTTCGCTGCTGCAGTTTTTTTTTGCTTGCTTGCCTGTCGCTGCTGGCAGAGCTGCTGCTGCTGCTGCTGCTGCTAGTTTAGCTGCTGCTGCGCATTTTGTTTCACTGCTGCAGCCGAGTACATAAAGCAGGACAGTGTGCAGCTCACTAAGTTTCTGCTTAGAGGCCCTAGGGGCCCCCTGGGGGCCCCCTGGGGGCCCTCTTGGGGGCCCCCGAGGGCCCCTAAGGAGCACTTAGTGGCCCTTAAGCAGCACTCAGTGCAGCACAGAGAGGCCTAGTAATTTAAAGGTAATGGAGGCTCCTCTCTCTGTTGCAGCAGCAACAGCTGCAGCGCAGCAGCGAAGGTTCCTCAGCAGCAGCGGAAGAGCCTTATGCGCATCCCGCGCAGCCGTGAGGGGCTTGCGCTGTTGCAGCAGCAGCAGCAGCAGTGAGGGAGTTGTGGGGCTTTTGCTGCAGCTCACGACCAAGCGAAACTCTAGGGAACGCATCGGCAGCAGAAAGCAGCAGCTGCAGCAGCAGCAGCCTGCAGCAGCAGCACGAGCAGCAAGTAGCTGCTGCAGCCCACCTCAGCTAGCAATACTAAGGGCCCCAGGGGCCCCCCAGGGGCCCCAATCCTTTCAGTGCCCCTGGGGAACCCCGAGGACTCCTGGGGCCCCCACTGGACCCCTAGGGGCCCCCTGGGGGCCCCCAGGGGTCCCCAGGGGCCTCCAGGGCCCCTATAGTTGCAGCCAGGTTCGCGTAGGTACTTAGCTGCAACAGAACTAGGGATGCTGGCGTAATATAGCAGCAGCAGCAGGAAAAAGAAGCAACCAGCAAGCATGCTTGATTATTCAAGTTTATGAAAGTAGAATTGATAAGAAGATGCCATTTTCTTGCCTTTATACTATTGAAATTCCTTAACGCTGGGTCTAAGCCATGAAATGTGAAAAAGGCTGAAATAAGCAGAAGTGCTTCAGCCCCTTTTGCACACAAAGGCTGCTGCTGCTGCTGCTGCTGCTGTTTAGTCTGCATGCGTTGCTGGATCCACAGGAAACTACTGGGGCCATTTGCTGCTGCAGCAAGCAGCTGCATGCATTTTTCGCAGCAATTTTTCTCCACTTTGTTGAAGTAGTCCATTTTGAAGCTTTCTGAACTGTAGCCGCAAGCTGTGCGGAGCCCCGCAGTGCATTCTGTGGGCTTTCTCGCCCACTGACATAAATAATGCCACTGACATAAATAATGCAAATCTATTTGAATTCAGAAAACTTTAAATGGCCTCCTGGGAGGCGAGAACACCAAGTGATTGGCTTGGCAGCTTCAGCTAAGCTGACTGCAGCCGGCGCTGCAACAACTGGAAGCAAGTTCAAATGAACTGGCGCCTAACCAATTAATTAAATGCTCCTAAATCATTCAATAAACAGTTTTCCCGAGAAATTGCAGAGAAAAATAACTTTTGCCGCGCAGTAACGCGCCCAGCGCAGCGCCTTCCCATATTTGCTGCAGCTGCGGCTGGTGCAGCGCTGTTCTGCTGCTGAAGTGGCTTTTGCAAATTGGCCAAAAATTTCCCAATTGCAGCTTCCCTGTGTGTTTCGGAGTCATTTGATTTGTTTTAAAATTCAAAAATAGCCCAAGCCGGCCAAAAAGAGGCAACTAAATGCCTGCTACCATTCCACATGCAAATAATTTTCAAGAACCTTCCCGCGAAAACGGGGAAACTCTGGAACTCAGCAGAGCCTTCGGCTCAGCAGAAGCTCCAAAATGCCTTTAAATAGTGCAAATGCATGCAAAAATAATATTTATACGACAAGAGAAAATAAAAAGGGAAGCAGAAACAACTGGAAAAAGACTTAGTTGATCAAGAGCACCTGTGCCCCTGGCTGGAAATAGTATTAGAAGATGAAAACGTTCAAAAACAAAAAGAGATCAGAAGAAAGCGTTTGAAAACGCTTTCTTCTGATTTGTTGATGTGCTCACTCAATAGAAAATATAACATCAAATAGCCATGCAAAATGAGGCAAGAAGATATTCAAAAATGAAGAAGTCAAGAAACTGGTTCCGGGAGATGCTGAGTCAAATCATTGAGGCGGTAGAAGGAGCAGCAGCGGAAAGCTGTAATTTTGGAGCTTTTGCAGCTGCCAAAAGCCTAAAAAGTCCTTCCCATCTAATCGGAATAAAGTGAATTCAAAAAGGCAAAAGTCTGTGTTGAAACCAAGCCCCGAGTCAGCCGAAATGGCCGCCTTCGGGGGCCGCTGCTGGCCACTCCAGAGGAGGCAAAGAGGCCCAGAAAAAGCTGGAAAGCTGGCGGCTCTGTGCACTCCAGAGCTGCAGCAGAGCTGCGGAAAAGCTGCAGAACATTTTAAAGAGCCTCCAGCACCAAAGCCGTGGCGGAGTCGGCGCCGTTGCATGCAACGGCGCAGCCGAAGGTCAGGTCTCGGGCGCGCAGCGCAGCAGCTAGCGACAGCACCATTCTCACTCCGGACATGCCTGAAAAGAAAAAGAAATAATTCAAAAAGGCACTTCGAGCTGCGGGACTTAGCAGCGCAAACAAGTTCGCAAAAACTCACCAAACGGGTGGCCCAGGCTTATGGCTCCCCCGTTCACATTCACCCGGGAAGCACAAATGTCCAGCCGGCGCATCAGCAGCAACGGCAAAGCAGCAAAGGCTTCGTGAACTTCGTACAAGTCCACCTGCCCACAAAATGCATAAAAAGAAGGGAAAAAACAAATTTAAATTAACTCCTCGGGGTCTTACGGTCTCAGCGTCTTGTGCGGAAGTTCAGAATTGCAAAGAGTCAACACACGCAAAAAACACCCAGGCTGGCGCGCACAGGAAACGGAAAATCCGGTAAGTAGGCAACAGAAAAAATAACTCTTTTAAATTTTCTGCAAGAAATGCGAAATAAATGACAAATGATAAAAGAAATACGAGATCGCAGCGGGGTAGGGCAGGCGGAGGCGAAAAGGCCGCAGGAGGAACAGCAGCAAATCAGCTCGTCAATAGTCAGAAGAGCCACAGCATCCTGCAGCAGGAAGCAAGACGAGTGCAGCAGCAGCAGCACCAACGGGCAGCAAAAACTCTCTTGCCCGTTCCAGTCCTGCCAGACGAAGAGCTCTAAGGATTGCAACTTCAGAAGGTAATGTGAAAGGGGCCCCATCATCTCTTCCTCCCGCGTCAGCAAAAGACAAGACTCTGCGCATTTCATAGCGCATGCAGTGAGACTAGCTGCTGCGCAGCCACTGCCGTGCCCTACTGCAGCAGCAGCCGCAGCAGCAGCCGCAGCAGCAGCAGCTAAAGCAGCAACTTCTCGGATCAAGTGAGCGGGAATGTGGTGCCTGGAATCCAGACAAAGCTCTTGAAATGAGCGAGAGCCACCGAAAGGAGCTGCGAGGTCCAGTGGTCCTCCCAGTCTCACCGGGCTAGAGGCCTCAAGCCTCTTTTTCTTGCTTCTCCTTCTTCGCCCAACACCAAAGCTGCAGCCCCGTCGCCCAACTTGCAAGAGTTTGCTGCCGTCAAGACTCCGTCGCTGCGGAAGATGGGGCGGGCTGAGGCCACGCGGTCCAGAGAGATTCGTCTCACTTCTTCGTCGTGCTGCAGCTGCTCCCGCGTCTGCTGCTGCTGCTGCCGCTGCCGCTGCTGCAGCAGCTGCTGGCGGCCGCTGGGGTGCGCAGAAGCGCGGCGCTGCAGCAGCTGCTGCTGCTCTTGAGGGTCGAATATTGAAGAGCCCATGCCGTGGGCACTGGGCGCTGCAGCACCCACCCTAGGCAGCAAGAGATGACGGAAATGAAATGCGCTTTCCTATTCTCTAAATCCTGAACTCTAGCTAAAGTTCGTGCTGCAGAATCTCTACTGACTGCGCAGTTGCATGCGCGCTCCCCAGAAGCTGCTTCTACAGCAGCACCGGGCGCTTTTGCTGCAGAAACCCCCAATATCCTCCTGCTTCCAAAAGCTGTATTTCTGGCTGCCCGCTGCCCCCTGCTTCCTGGCTGCATGCAGCCACTTTTAGTGCATCGATCTGCCACTTTTGCTGCTCCCTAGCTCCCCCAGCAGCAGCCACGCACCCGCAGCAGCAGCAGCCAGCGGCTCCAGCCCCTCCAGCCCGAAAAAGCCTTTGCTGGCAGCGTCGGCTGCCCGCTTGAAACTTCTTACTGCGTATTCGTCGCAGTCAGCGCGCGAAATGCCGTGGCCCACGGCGGCGGCTTCTGCTTCCTGAACGCGCGGGAAGCCGACACGAAACACCAAATTCAGAAAATATAGAGACTTTTTAAGGAGAAAAGACAAACAATTCAGACAGATTCGACCGTATTGGCACAGAAGAACAGGCACTGCCTCGTGCAAACGATAGCTGCAAACACATCCCAAAAAACGGCGAAATGAGACGGAGTGAGGGCTGCAGGAAGCCATTAGTGGCAGCATAGAGAGAAACTCGTGGCATAAATGGCAGCTCTTACTTCGCCGGGTATTAGTTGAAAATTGGGGCCGTTGAGAGCGTCAAAAACGACTGAGTCCACGAGAGATCCGTCCCCCAGCCTGTAGCCGCCTTCTCTTGCTTTCCTGTTCAGCAGCAGCAGCAGCAGCAGCAGCACGCAGCAGCCTCTTCTGCTGCAGCCGCCACTGCGGCCGCGCAGCAGGCTCGGGACTATTTTGAGTTTTTCTCCTCGAGTCTTAAGAGCCGCACGGACACCCGCAGGCACTTAAGGACTTGAAGAATCTAGAAAGCCCGAGGAGGACTTACAGCAAAAGGTAAGGCGCGCAGCTGACAGACTCCACGCCCACAGCGAGCGACAGAGGGAACTCGCCCAAAGCCACCGAAGAAGCAGCCAAAGAAACAGCCTTGAGGCCAGAAGCGCAGCCGCTGTTCACTGTGAAGACAGAAGCCGTGGGAGGAAGACCTGAAGCAGCAGCAACATGAATGCGGCCAGGCAGCGGTGAAACAGGGGGCTAGGACTTATCAAATGCAGTCTGAGGACAATGTTTTGCTGGTCTTGATGATGGAGCCCATTTTAAAGGGAATTAATGGGGGACTGAGGCTGCCGCCGGCGTTAAATGCGCTGCTGACGGTGCTGCTGCTGCACCCGCCCATGCAACTTCTTCAGCACAGCTGCCAGGCCACTGCACTGCTGCGTCACCTACAGCTGGGGCCACAGATGTGCGAAGAATCCCCTGTTAGGCGGGAACTCCAGCTTAGACACGAAAACAGATCGCAGAAGCTAAAAATACAAGAACACGGGAGCGCGGGGGGAGGAACTGGGGGGAATATTCAGAAAAAAAAGGCACAGCAGGGTCCCACACTTCTGAATTGAGAGGAAAATATCACTTAATGCCGAAAACCACGCAGAAAAGGAAAATATCTGCTCGGTGTGGAAACCGTCCCGTACCCGCAAGACTCATTGCCAGCCTGTGGGAGGCTCTTCCTTGCCCCGCAGCGAGCACCTGGCCTACTACACATTGTTGAATTTCTGCAGGAGAAAGCCCAGAGCGTTTAATGGCAGAAGCTGCTGCTGCAGCGGCGAGTTTGCTGGGAGGCGTGGCTCTCAAGGATCCCAGGAAACCGCCGATGGGCGTCCGAGCCCCCCCAATAACCACCACCCTCCGAGGCAGCAGCTGTCTCCTCATGCTTTAAATTGCATGCAACAATCATCTTTTGAAACAGGCAAAAGAGCCTCTCGTTTTCCTGCTCTCTGTCGTACTGGGGGGTGCCCACGGTCTCACCGAGCACCTGATCATTGAGCTTGCAAACGGAAGCCCACACAGTTGGGCGAAGGGAGAACGTGTCTTCTGCTTATAAACATTCCATTTGAAATAGTTTGACTTTTCCATTTCGTTGTAAAATGATCAAAACGGACCGAAGATGGCGACTGTTGGGGCTCAGTAGACCACGTTTCGCTTGCGTCCGTGTTTGCACGTCTTGCAGTGTCGAGTCTTATCTTCGGGGTCCGCCAGGCCAGACCGCATTTGAATGCCTTCAAGAGATGGCCTAGTCTCTTGGAACAAAAGTATTTACTGTGCAGTGCGCCTTATTCGGCGCTGGGGCGCTGGCACAGACTGGCCGTGGGCACTCCCTGTCTTGCTACTCCGTACAGGTTCTTGAGACCCTAGTTTGACTGTTAGATCTTTTCTGCATTGCCTTGGAGCCAAAAGCCCATCAGTTGCAATGCATAACTTAGCGAAGACAGCCTCCGTAGGTATTGAGACGCTCACCCGTAGCAGCGGGGCCCCTCATCTGCGCCTCATCAAGGGGACTTCGCCGCAATACCCGAAATTGCAGCTCGGGGAGGAAGCCCTGAAGGTCCAGAGGGGGTATCCTGGCTTTTTATTTGTCCGTCGTAGACATCACGCGGGTCCTCGCCGCTGTCCGACCCTGGTGACCCTCACGCTGCTGGCGATTGTTGCAGCAGCTTACTTGGTGTTGCGCTGCAGACCTCACAAAGAGATCCAGAATGGCGTTGGAAACGCCACAAGATCACTTGCAGCTGCTGACAGGGCACAGGGAGAACTTGCAGGAATTTGTCAAGGTGGGGGAAGTGGCGAGTTCACCAATGATGGTGCTCAAGACGCAGCTCTTGATGAGGAGGAGGTCCTCGAGCGCGCCTTGCTTTTCACGACTAGTTTGAAGAAATTCTTTGAAGAGTTTATGGTAACTCTGCAAAAACTGTCCACTGCAATGCGCAGGGAAGGAATGAGTATCATTTTGGGTTTGGCTGTCGTGGAGCTATCTGCCCAGGCAACCTTGCTCAAAGTTGAACAGAGGCATGGAATACAAGTTGTGCTAGATACCACAGATTTGTTATACGACACCTTGCGCCGAACCTTTACAAAGAAGGACATATCCCTTTGCGGCTTGCGGCACCTTCGGCAGTTGCGGCTCTTCTTAGATGCACTTCCAGGCATTAAGTGGGCCGGAAGGCAAATTTCTTCAGCTGGATCGCTCAGGAAGCTGGTTAAACTCCTTGAGCTACAGGAAATTGCTCTGAAGCAAATGCTGGAAGGTTTGAAGCAATTGGCTATCCTTCAAGCTGCATTCGAGGGGTTCGTTCCAGATAAATTAGCCGACGTAGTCTTGCAAGAGATGCGGCAGACATTGATCGTTCGTAGATTTCAATTGCTTCGAGACCCTGAATTGAATAGCTTCTTGCGGGAGCAACACACAGAACGGGTGCGTTTCGGACTCTGTGCCTTCTGGCAAATCCAAAGGGCTCTTTCGCGTCCTCTGGAACAACATCATGAGCTAGTGGCCGAGCTCGCAAACACACCTCTTGGTTTGCGTTTAAGTGAAGAGCAGGGCGAGTCTTCGGGCGCCCTGCCAGGAAAGCTAGAGAGTCTTTCTCTAGAGAACAGGGGAGAGCCTGCAATAGAGTCTGCAGACTCTGCGATTTTGTTGAAGGCTTCATATGACTTAGGAACTGAGGACGATTCCCTTGAGTCAAATGAGGTTTATGATGATTCGGATGACTTAGGAGCTGAGGACAATTTCCCGAAGGCAAATGAGCTTTCTGATGAGACATATGGCTTTCAAACTGAGGAGGAATCCCCGAAGACAGATGAGCTTTCTGATTGTTCAGATGGCTTTGGAGCTGAGGCCGATTCCCTAAGGGCAGATAATTTTTCTTATGAGGCACTTCGATTTGGAGCTGAGGCCTGTTACCCGAAGGTAGATCAGCTTGCTAAAGAGGCATATGGCTTTGGAGCTGTGGAAGCTTACCGGAAGGCAGATAATCTTTCTCATAGGGCTTATGGGTTTGGAGCTGAGGCCTATTACCCGAAGGCAAATAATCTTTCTCATATGGCTTATGGGTTTGGAGCTGAGGCCTCTTACCCACAGGCAGAGATTCCCTCTCATGAGGCATATGGCTCAGGAGCTGAGACCAATTACCCGAAGGCACATGGCTTACGAGCTGAGACCAATAACCTGAAGGCAAATAATCTTTCTCATGAGGCTTATGGGTTTGGAGCTGAGGCCTATTACCCGAAGGCAGATACTCTCTCTCATGAGGCATATGGCTTTGGAGCTCCGGACGATTACCCGGAGGCCGATGAGCTTGCTAATGATGCATATGGCTTTGGCCTGGAGGAAAACTTCCTGACGGCAGGTCAGTTTGGTAATGAGGCTCATAATGAGCGTTTATATGCAGGCTTGGGACAGGCTGCAGTGCCACCAGTGGCTTACAATTCCCTCGCGGCCTCTGGAATCCCTCTTGCGGATGACTCCGCACATCGGATGCCAGAGGAGCCTGAGGCTCAAAGTGACTATGTGGAAACTGCGCCCGTCTCGCTTCCGCAGCGACCTGCATTTTCCGTTCCTGCAGAGGCATTTAAGCAATTCAGAGCTACTGTATCCTTGCAGCAAACTGTTTCCCGACGAGCAGCTCTGCCACAGAGCGCTTCTTCGCTGTCAAGCCCCTATGGACTTCCCAGATACGCCAGGCCCTTCGCAGCGCCTGGTGCGGCCGAATTTTCTGACAAGTCTTTCGTCTTTGGACAATCTGGAAGCCCTGAAAGAACTTGGTTTGTTAGGGCTCCAGCCCCCGGTGAGCCTTCCATGGCTTGGGGGGCGGCGCAGTACACTTCGAGGCTTCCCAGTTACCCTCCGACTCAGTACCCCGTAATACAACTGCCGCTAGGTCCGCAGTATTCTTTCCCGCGAGCGGATTCCACGATGCAATATCGCTTCCAGCCAAGGCAGCAGCAGCCTTTCCCTGGCCAGCACCTCATGCACATGACGGGGGCTGGAAGTCATTTGCCACATGTTCCATCTGGCAGACCGCCGAGACCAGAGGCGGCTGCAGTCACTTATGGTTTATTTAGGGCTCCTGTGCATCCGGTGAGGCACCCAATGCAGGCCGCACGAACTCCAGCACTCGCACATGAGGCTCATTCCCCTTTTGAGACTTTAGGAGGAGCTGCGGAGTCAAGACAAGCACGTACGGCTGCTGTTGGGCTGTGGGAAAGAGCCCCTGGGCCTCGCGAGCCGAAGAGAACCTTCCATGGGGTGCCGCTAGGAGAACCCGTACCCAAGGATCGATTCAACTAGCGAAATGCAGCAGCTCTTGATTTAAGGCTAAGTGTACCCGCCCGCCTCCTTGATTTATTCAAGACAATGCGTTAGGGTACTGAGTAATGGCTGTTTTCTACAATATTAGAGACACAATGCAGACATGGAAACAACTGTGGAGGCTCTGGAGGCTCTGGGCTAGTCCCGTTATGAGGAGAGTTCAGAGAAGTCCACAGGATTTGCTCACTGTATCTGACCGTAGTCTAAGAGACTCCCCAAGAGGAATAAAGTCAAAGAGATGAACACAATGTGAACATGTGAGAGTACGATAGTACGACATACAAAAAAAATAAGCGCAAGAAAAACAAAATGCAGGCGCCAAAAGCTTTCGAGTCGATTTTGTGGAGGCCCTATCGACCCCGCAGAATCACCAAGATGAATCTTCTTCGCAAATGAAACGGGGACTGCCTCTCATTTCAACTGGAGGAAACGTGAGAAGCGGAATGCTAGTTTTATGCAAGGCTGAGGGGATGGAGGATCTCGTCGCTATCCTGTTAACCACATTGACTTGGGTGTTTTGGCGAAGTCGAATATTTGTCATTTGGTTGTGTTCTGACGCGTCTCAATGTGCTGAATGCTTCAGATGTGACAATTTGTCCTTGTTGCAAGGGCTAACGAGTTTACAGGTAAGGTATAATCTCGTCGGCGTCGTCTGGTGGCCTCTTGTGCTCCTCCAGGCGTTCGCGCGGGAGAGCCCAAGCTTGTCTTCGAGGTGAAAGCCTTCAAGCCCTGTTCCTTTTTGATGGAAATACTCCCATTTGCAGCTGTAAGCAACCACTCTTAAGATTCCTCTTTGTTGTTGGATTTCCGCTCATTTTTATGGGTATGCTGCCGGGCGCACGCGTTGAAGTGACCGCATTTTGCATCATTATGCCCGCGGCATTCTTGGCTCTCTAAGGAAAGAAATGATGATCCAGTTTAGGCTTTGATGAAGTTAGTAACCTAAAGCGAACGCAAGATTTTCTGACCAGCCTCCACACTCTATTTGCAGAGCCGCTAACCGAGCGAAATATTCATCTCTACTCGCCTCCCAGCTACACTAGGATAGTTTTACCCGAAGTTAGGAGAATAGAATGACCTGGATAATGTCTTAAAATCATCAGACTGTTTTATTATTTCTACCCTCTACCGAAGAATTCTACTCTGCACGCACTAGTCCACACGGAAATAGTTATTCATGAGTTGGTGTGCGCATTAGTCTAGGGGCGTCGCTTCCTCTTAAAGTGACACAACATCCGAAAGAAATAAAACGATCTTGTCCTCCATAGAGTATGCAAAATTTGCATGGGCATGAGAAATTTGGAGAAGGGCCCTTCTCCCCGTTCATTCGAAGTCGGCTCAGCTTCACTACGGTGCAGACTCAGCCGCCCAGAAGAACTGGTTCGCAGGCAAAAATTATAGCTCAATCGCTAGTGTTTCCTGGGCCACTGGCCGCAGACGACAACCATATGCTTCACGAAGAGAACTGGCTCCTGCTTTTCCGCATTCGCCATTGCACTTCATGGCCCACTAAAAAGCATCCAGATCCATAAAATCAAGTCTACGTTTTACAAAATTGGAGCTGACACGTCTAGAAATGCATCCAAAGAATCAATGGAACTGCCACAGGTTTCGATTGTTTCCTCGTAGCCTGCAGTTTAAGTTTACACGCAACCATCTTCACCAGGGTCATCCGTGCCGATTCCAACACATTCTGTTTTGAAATGCATCAAAAGAAGACGGCCACAGGCGACTGTCCGTCTAGTTCCATCTTAACACCTGCCGCAGCTGAAGAAGCACTTCGACACTCCTACCTCGACTACATTAATGCCCTTGTACTTCAAACTGGGTTCTTCAGTGTTGGGTGGAAAGTGTCGCACGGCTCGTCCATTGACTGCTTATTTGCAGGCGGTGCCCAGCCACCTACAGCCATATAAAAGCGGCAGTCTAGAGCCCTTTCCAGTCCTGCGTAGTCTGCGAGGCTCGTCTGAAGCATCCGCGACCATTCGCCAGTCCTATTTCGAGGTTCAAACCGGCAACAGATTTAGAATCGTAGAAGGCCTCCGATCAACTGCCAGAATCAGTGTTTCTGCCTCTGCAGCGGCTTCTTGGTCGAAATTCATGCACAGACAGTCATGCTTAGCCAGCGCCTCATGAACCGCTGAGGGAAGCGAAGCCCGGGGCATCTATTCTGAAATTTCGCTGCGATAAACAGAAGGCCTCAGAATCGCCGGCCACTTGCTTGCTAGTAGTGGTGTGAAGAAGTGAACCCATATAAGATAGACAGCGGACGCCTTCACCAGCAGCACACATCTCAGCGCCCCATAAGCCACATGCCAAATAGCAGCATGCCTCCACAAGGCCCGGATAAGAAGCGAGCTCTTGCACGGAATGAACGCGCACGGGAGCAGCAAGCCCCAGAAGGCCTGCCTCCCCCTAAAAATGGTAGTTCAATATCTCAGGCCCTTCAAAGAGAGTAACCCCAGAACCAGACAGGCCATAGCAAGGTCAAATTCGTCCCCACACTGGAGCCACAGTTGCCCCAAGTGTGTAACAAGGAAGTCACTAGCCAAAGAAGTGCCAACTTTCCACTATGCGAGATCCGTGGAAAGGCCCACAACAGCACGTTTTCACTTCAGAACTGAACTCCAGTTCTGAGGTGGAAGAGGTGCCTACAAGAAAAACTGTAGCTGAGGAATGAGTGACTGCCTGTTCCAGCAAGGATGGCTGGAAAGCTTTTTGACAGAAGCAAAAGCCCAAAGCCAGAGCAAAATCCAACTGCGCCACGGGCTACCACCACTCAACAAAGTCTCCATCCTTTTAAGTCCCGGGAGGACCAAAAGCGCTAGGCGTTTCAGATGACGCAGAAGCTTCGCCTGTCTCATGCGGTGCAGGTGCTGGGAGTGACCCCACGGCTCCCCATCCAGCTGAGGTGCTTGGGAAAGATGAATGATCTTCAGAGCTAAAAGTCGTGAAGGGGCCGAAGAGTGCGGGTCCCGCGGAAGTCTCAGAGGGGCTGGGTCCACCAAGAAGGCCAGCAAAGCGCTCCACCCCGGAGGCACCAAAAACGTCCTCCGTGTGACCAGGTGTTGGGGAGCTACTAGGCGTGTAAAATACCTCAGGGAATTCGTCTGGCGAGTCAGCTTCGTAGAATTGTTCGCTCGAATCCCCCGTATCTAGCTCTTCCCCACTGACAAGCAATGAAAGGTCAAATGCCTCTTGCAACTTCGAGACGGCACTTTCGCGGGAACGCGTTTCCCCCCGCCCAGTGCCTGAAGGCTCAGACACGGGAGAGCTGCGTGTTGAGGAGCCGCCAGGTGTTGTCCAGTCCCTAGAAGGCACTGCTACTTCACTGGAAGCAGCGGTTTCTTTGTCGGAATCCTGTGCCCCTGACTGGTCCCCAGTGACAGTTTCGGGGACCTGAAGCGCCTCTTGCACCCTCCACACGGCAGCCTCCCTGGCATGCAATGCCCCCAGTTCAGTACTTTGGAGATCTTCCATCGTTTCTTCGTGTGATCTGGGGCCTTCCGCTATGAAGCGCTGGATATTCCTGTAGGTCGTGATTCCAAAGTGCCATTTTTCTCCATGGAACTCCATCATCCAGGCTCTGTACAGGGGTTCTCGCAGTACGTGGGCTTTTCGGGCCATCACAGTCTTTTTTATGGCATCCACAGCACTCGGTATTCCCGGGTGATCAGGTCCACTATCTGAGTAGCACACTGCCAGGTTCTTCAGTCCCAGCCACATCTGCGTGAGTGCTGTTTCTTGCAATTCAAGCAACTGCTCAAAACGCAAGAAGATCTCAGCCTCAGACATGCCTTCAGAAGTCGCTTTCAATCGCCGCAAACATTTCAAGAGCGTGTGCATTCTTCGGAAGTGGCGCAAGGTAGTGTGTGAAATGTCTTCCGGGCCCAAAGTGGCGCGCAAGTCCTGAACTGTATTGTTAACTCTGCTCACAGTTACACCGACAGCTGGAAATCGGGGTCCCATCAAGCTCACTAGGGCGCCTAGCTCTACCACTACAAGACCCAACGTGGTAGACAGCAGGTTGCGGCGGTCATCTGGGTGAATACCGACACCCACGCGACTCATTTGTTTCACAAACTCCGTCAGATTGCCTGCATATCGCTCGCCCCGCATTATGAGGCTTCTTTGAGGAGAAGGGGTGGGAAAAAGTGAATCAGTTGGAATTGACGGCGCATCTGCACCTCCACAGGCGCCCTGAAAATCCTCATCTCCCGACTCAGCACTTGACAGCGACCTGTGGACGGCAGAAATCCCATTTCGAGATCCAATCTGAATGCTGCAACGCAGCACCACGTAGGCTACGGCAAGAAGAGCCACAGCCACTTGAGCTGCAAGACTGAAGTAGAGGCGGCGGTTCCTTTTCCGGCTCCTGTGCCTAAAGAGCGACACTGAGTCCCGTTTAAAAGCCTCTCCCTGCGCAGGTCCCTGAGGTTTGTTGTTGTCCGGCGAGGTCTCGTAGCGAGCACCTGGACTCTCGCTGTGACGCTCCCTTAGCATCGGTGAGGGAACTGGGAAACTCCCCGCCATACCCTTCTCTGTAGTTAATGGACAACGGGACGAAATCAAAAACAAGTTGGACACGGATAACGGGCTGGAAACGGGGACTCCGCAGCGGCACGAGCACAGCCAGGATATGCAACTGGACCAACCGCAGTGCTTTTACAGAAGGAGGGCGAATTGAGCTCTTCTTCCACACATTTATGAGAACTCCGATACTAATTAGTGCATATTTCTACAACCATCGCCACTTTTGGGTCCACTTCTTCGAGATATTAGCCCAATTTACAACGATGATACAACGCTCACCCACATGCTCGAGACCGGGTTGTTTGTTTGGAAAAGGATTCAACTCTGCAATTTTACGCCCTCAAATTCCATCTCTGAAACTTCCCCTCAATTTCTTATGCAGAATAAATAGTATAAAGCGTCATTAAATAGCCTTTTCTCCAGTGAGAGTCGTATGCGTTGGCTTCTATGGACGGACTCCGCCTATGTGCAAACTCAAGGGTTCTCGTTGCAAGGGTTTGCTGAAACACAGCATCGCCTGCCTTCCTTCAATAGCACTAAAACAGGATTTATTCCATGTTCACACTAGAAAAGCAAGAATTCGAAGGAATAATCACACGCAGCGTCCTGCGGCCGCTAAAAACTGGAGCATTCTATAGTAGAAGCATGCTATACCGGTCCACTACAGCGGCGAATCTGCAGCACCACAAAAGCGTGAAATACAATTATAAACCAAACTGAAAACACTTCAAAATCCTTTTGACGTTTTGCATGCTATTTACGCGTAGCTTTTTGGTGTCCCTTCACGTTTCATGTTGCAGTTTTGTTGGGCCCCCTACGCACATTTCCACTTGACCTATAAGGTGAGTTAGAAATATGCAAGAATATCGGCTAAATATGCAGCTATCGTAATTTTGTGTATAACTTGCGTGAGGTTTGTGTCCCAAATCAAGTAAGCGGCGCTTAACGAACGCTCCCTCGAAGACGTAGTTCAGTGTTGCTCAAGTCAGCGAAACACAAACGGGACCTCAGAAGACAATGCAGCTTAAATTTAGCTTGTTATAATGCGATATATCTGGAAAACATGTAGAAATATAGGGCTCCAAGGGGTGCTGGGAAGCGCAAATTGCAAAACCGGCTGCGCGGTTTGTGGCTGGAGAGTTTTTGCAGGGACTCTGCCCACGCTGGCAGGTTGCGCAAAGGTTTCTGTGATGTTATGGCCATCTCTATCTCTATTAACTCTTCTTGATTAGGTGTTTACTTTCCTTTATTGTTTGTAACTGCTGTGTGTGGGGTAGTTGGTGTGGGCTACAGGGCAGTGTGGCCCGTGTGGCCCCATCTACGCACTCCGCTCACGCCACTGTGCAAAACGGCTGTGAGGAAGGCAAAAATTCGCAACTTGTAACATTTCTAAAGCTGTCTGTTTGCGCCTAGATCTTATCACAAGCACAATTATAAAAGGAACACTACGGTGATCTGTGGCTGTTTCTCCAACTCTTCCACTTGACTACCTGAACTGTAGCTAATTCCTAACCTTCGATGCTATGAGATTAGCCGGACTCTAGCTACTTTGGCTAAGGAATCCGGGGAGAGATGTAGTCGTCTTAGGATAACTCCTGTAGGGAAAGTGAGCCCCATACACCTACAGTAGAAATTGAGCGGGTATTCCTTGACTGTGTGCCTTTCAGTAAGCACAATTCCTTCAGACTAGCACAAAGCAGAAGTTGTGGCTTTCAATATATTTTTTCGCCATGCATATTGCGATGAAAACTTCATCCAGCCTCCCCAACTACAACCGGCGAAACCACGTCCTGCAGCGAAGGCCATTTCTCGCATTACAGAGGAAATGGCGACGAAGTTTATCGCGATTGGCTGGTCAATCATGGGAACTAGACGAGATCCAGTAAAGCAGCAGCCATTTTAGATAACTTACGCTCTCTTCGCAAAGCTCAATGGAGGAAACACGCCAATCTGCAGGAGCTGAATGCTCTGCAGCTTTGAAACTGGCAAAATCCACGCCAACAATTAATTCTTGGCCTGCTGAATGATGTTGAACCGAAAAAGCAAAATGAATTCTCTAGTGTCAATGATAGTTGCCGTTGTATACCGAAGCGCTTGGCAGCCAGAGGAAGCTGAGTCGGAGCATGCTCGGTCTAATGGGGCAGGGCGTTGCATCACCCAAGGAATTCTGATGAGGATACTCATACGGAGACACAAAGACGGGTTGCTGAGGCCCAGAGACGCCGCAGCACAGGGCTTCTAGTCTTGCGAAAGCTCTGTCTATCTAGTATAATACCTGCGCTGCCGCGCCTCATAGGAGCTGTGCACTCAAGCACCATAATACAGGAAAGCCTGGAGATTATAAGCAGCGAGCAATTTTGCTTTACGGTACTTCTTAAATGCATATCTGCAAGGAACAAAGCTATGCATGGGGTTCAAATGCTCCGCCAAAGCCCAAGCTGAAGTTCAAAGCCCGTTGCGCACAGCGCTACATGTGCTCCACAACTGGCCCTCAGGGTGATATGATTCAATATATGTGGATTGGCGTAATAATAAAAAGTAATATCATGCGTAAGGAGGTAGCATCCGAGATATCAGGCCCACTGTACTCTGAAGTGTGACCAGGGTTTTACGCTGGGAAGAAGCACCGAAATGCATTGTTTGCCACAATCACGCAGAGAAGAAAAGTCCGAGAGACAAATGCCTCCGTGAAAAAATGAAGATACAATGATACTTGGGGTCTTTCAATGTTTATACGATGTCTTTGTTGAGTAGTGATTAGTAGTGATAGGTATGATGCATGCAATTAGAGGAAGAAGAGACACATAGAAGCCAAAGTGGGCTTATTTTCCTACAACACTGATCAGTTATGCAATTCATCTGTCTTCTTCTCTGGTGCGCAAGTATGTAACTTCTACAAGGTTACAGCAGCACAGATATTATACTAAAGGACTGGTAAAATATACAGTACTAGCTGGATGATAACAACCCCACGTTAATACACCTGTGAGGTGCTGTTCCTTACGTGCATACTCTAGTGCGTTAAGAAGATGACAATAGGATTGTTCTCTTTTGAAACGTACCCAGAAGAACAAGTTTGTAGTTTCCGTGTTGCAGTGAAATGTAAAAATCATTTGAAAGCACACAGGCGAACCTTGTTTAAGTGTTCCGCGAAATGAAAGCAACCATAAAACTTCGATATGAGCTGTTCTGCGCTGAACTTCAGCTTAGGTTTTGGTAAGGCAGCAGAAGCCATCGGTGGCGTTTCTCTTATGAAAAGGAGAATACAACCAATTTGAGGTGTATGCAGCGGCATCCATGACATTGTTGTGTTCCTTATAGGCTGAGCTGCGGAGTGTAATTGGCCCTTTGCTCCTGCAAGCCCACACTGCAAGTAGTAAAGCATCTGGCGGCTTGAACACTGGATGATGTTCAATTAGCCTTTATTTTTCTATCAGGCTACAGTCTTGAGGGATAAAACCAAGTATCTTTTCCTTGTAGCGTTAGCTATCAGACATATTTTTTCACGCCCTAAACAGCCCAGATCTGATCTTATTGGTTTTGGCCAAAAACATTTTTGCATAGATTCATAAAAGGGAAGCAACATCATTACGAATCCAGATTTTCAAAGGAAGTAGGGATGGGAGGCATATGCTCCGAGAATTCTTGAGGGAGCAGGCTTCCTATAGAAACCCAATGTACCAATGATCCCCAGTCACCAGTAAAAACACTGAATTCTCAAGTGAGGACGCTTTCTACAGAAGCGCTACGATCTTTCAACTTCTCCGGGCACATCATAGCATTTGTCATGCGTCTCTTGCCGAATTACAGCAGAATGACTCTCAAAGGGGTGGGGCAAAGTGCCATTTGGCTGGCCATTTGAGGCTCTTTGTCATACCAGGCGCCCTCTTCTCGTCAATTGCTCTTCTATAGAGGAGCAAGGCCCTGACGTTCACTAGGAACTTGTTCCAAAGCGCTTTTAGCAGATGCTGTTGCTCAGTGCCAGCGTGGCAGCTCTATGCTCAGCTGATTCCTGTGCTGCGTATAGTTTCGACGACCTAGAGTGGAGTTAGACATTACTTTATTCGAAGCTGCTCAGCTGAGAACACCCTCAATGTGTAAAAGCTATGATGCTGAAGCACAGGGTGCTGTTATAGGGTGAGACGCAGCCTTGAATTCCTTGCCACTGAGCTGACTATGCTGGAAAAACTGCAGAAAAAAGACAACCGGCTGGAGGCAGAAGGCGTAACTGGGTGCTGCCGCCTGCAAAGTGTATACTAACACAGAAAAAATGCACTAAACAAGATAAAAATAGCCTCGTTTACTTATTGCGTCACATGCTGCACAAGGGAATGCCCAACCAGTGCTGCCACTGAAGTGCTGAGCACTGCACCGAGTTACGAGAGCTGTCCTGCCAAGTTAAAAAGTCAGTCTACAGATGCCTTGAAGAGTAGTCAAGCAGGTCTCTGCAGGAAACAAGACAACTCAGAGAGCGAGTGGTTCCTCAGTTTCCTAGCAGCAACCGTGCGGCGAGCAGAGGCACTGAATGAGCTGCGGGTTCGGCTATGGGGAAAGGCTAAGCTTGTTTAGTGTGCATGTTTCGACCTTTCCTGAATGAGAAGCTTTGCATTGTCCATCTCAGTGTGCGGAAAACCACCAGCGGCTGCGAGATACAAGAAACCCGGCGAGTTTCACTACGGAACAGTGACTACTAACGAGTCCAATACCCAGACTTCGTAAGGAAAAAATATGGCATATGTGCGTGCAGCTCCAAGTGTTTAGATCCAGCGAAAACATGAAATCACTTTAAAGCCCCAAAACGTGGCAATCGAGTCACCCTGGTAGTTCAGCCGAGTCCACCCTCGCGGGGAGCAAAGGCCGGAGACTTTCCGTGCTACGGGGTACTTTGCATACTCTGTTCAATGCTTATTCAACATAAAAGAGTATTATTTGGGGGAAATATTAAATTTACTGTCTCCTCAAGGAACGGCAAACTCGCAGAATGGTAGGCCTTTGCTCCAGAACTATGGGCCAGAGAGCAAGCGGCTACCATCCCAACCTAGCATTAAATAACAAATGAATAATCCCAATTTCCAATTTTGTGAGAAACTGAACTACACAGAAAGCGGGGCTTTTGTTGTTTGGGATCGAAGTGTCGAGCGCTTTCACCCCAAGAGTACTGTGTCGAGGTTCTGTGCAATCGGTGTCTGAATTCCGTAGCATGGGCTGATCTTGGACTTGCCAGTTGTCTTACCCGCTTTAAGTCGCATAAGAAAATCTTTTAATGACTTGAAGCATACAAGTTCAATGAAATTGGAGCCCTGCAATTTCACGGGACATCCAGGTAACGCTCCACGGCCACAGGCGACATCTTTTCTTGCCTCGCGCGCATTTAGAATCTGATACAAAGTTTGAATGCGCCCCAGTTGTTTTCTGTTCTGAATAACTTTCATGAAGTCTGGATATAGAGCATAGTGGGGCGTGGAAAGTATTGCTTTTGTCTCCATCGCCCAAGTACTGTGCGGTTTTGTATGTCGTCACCGTGTGCAAACTGGGTTTCTCTGCTTAAGAACTGGACTCTAATTTGTCAATGAGTATCGAAATACATATTGCATTGCGTCTGAAGGCGAGGGATTCCGTGGAGTTGGCTTCAAAGGGATCTTCGATTGGGATCGAGGGTGGAGCGATCTCCAGGACCATCGTCTGAAGCTTCTCTTGCTTTCATTTTGTACCTTTGGCCCTTGTCTTTCCCTTTTTGCGCCCCATGCCAAGATATCGTTGATTCAGGGCGCAGCAAACACTGGCTTGCTGGCTTGGCCGACGCACAAGCAGCACTGCAGCAGCGGAAGCTCGCCCATGGCTTCTCTACGCCTCACTGGCGAGGAGGCACTGAGGGGTGCAGCTCCTCTGCAGTCTGTGGACTACTTAGAGTCCCCCACGAGAGACCATTTGTTTGTATTGTGGCGCAGAGGTCGTCAGCGGGGTTCCCACCTCGACGGGGCTGTGATACTTTCACTTTTTGTTGCTCTTGCTGCAGCTTACTTGGTGTTACGTTGTGGTCTTCAATTAAAAACTCGAAAAGGATCTGGCGGGCTGAGGTCGCTTGCAGATGCAGGGGAAGAAGCAGGAGCCGCTCAGCAGGCCTGCGCAGAGGCGGAAGGCGGGGGCTCGGGAGCTGGTGCTGCAGAGACAGCAGGCGGCGACTCACCGGGAGCTGCTGCTGCTGCGGGGGGCGAGGGCGGGAGCTTGGGAGCTGCTGCTGCAGAGGCAGAAGGCGGTGACCCAGGAGCTGCTGCTGCTGCTGCTGCTGCTGCTGGGGCGGAAGGCCGTGACCCAGGAACTGATGCTGATGAAGCGGAACTGGATGATGAGAGGAAAGAATTGGCTTCCAGGGCTTCGGCGTACATGAGGAAATTGGCGGACTTCACGAAGCGCGCAGCGCCAGTGTTGCAGAGGCTCCCTGTGGATGCTATTCGGGAAGCTCTAGGGGGCGTTCTGATTTTGGCTGTGGTGGAAATGACTTGCATGGGCACCCTGCTAAAGGGTGAAGAGCGAAAAGGCATACAAGTTATTGTTGATAAAATCTTGGGGGCGGTACGCCAGTCGACAAGTAGCCTTCCTAGAAAGGCTCTTCCAGTCACTACATTCCGCCACTTCAGGTTCCTCAAGGAGCTCTTGATGAGAATTCCAAGTAAGGATCCCACCGAACTCCCGTTACGCCAGCGTTTGGAAAGGCTAAGAGAAGTTTTGACTGTGCAAGAGATAGCGGTCGACCAAATGTTGCGCGGATTGGATGCTATGGAGGAACTTTGTGAAGACATAGAGTGGGTGAAGTCTAAGTTAGGAGCAGAGAAGTTTGCCACAATTTTCAAAAAGACTGCAGCCATCCGCAGAAACCACGTGCTTCGCGAAAGAATGTTCGGTGTTTGGCTGGTAATGCAGCACAAGATGTTCTGTCACTACGGACTCAGCGCCTACCCTCACATGCAGTCGCTTACTAACCAGGGCGCAAAGACTCAGAGAGAGCAGCTGGACGAACTAAAGGACTCCCCACTGGCGCTGCAGCTGCTCATGCCAAAATATGGATATAAAGGGGGACTGCCACAGCCAAGAGAGACGAAATCCAGAAGACGAAGAAGTGCACAAACTAGAGCCCCGGCTCAGAGTGCACAGAGGCACTCTCCAGAGGCTGCAGAGCATCGAGAGAATATGCCTTTTAGAGAGCAGTACGTTATTCCCCCTAGATTTAGAAAGCAAATTGAAGAGTCAAAGGCCGAAGAAGCTCCACAGGTGACTCAACCTTCCCACCCTAGAAATGATGGCGCCAGTGGCAGCAGCTCTCCCAGTCGCCCGAAGGGGGCTGAGTCCACCAAGGGCTCAAAAGGTGAGAAGCGGTCAGCTTCACGGCGGAGTCCTCCTTCAGGATCTGTGCGCCGTTCCCAAAAACCAGGTCCCTCGAAGTCTCCTGAAAAAGCTGCTGCTCCTGCTACTCCTCCGCCGCAGGAAGACCCGAAAGCAGCGGATCGTGAGGGTTCTTCTTCAGCAGCAGCCCCCAATAGTGCCGTTGAGTCCATTGATCACCCCAGCACTTCGAGCCAACCTAGCTGGCCTGAAGCAGCTGATCCACCCAGGAACGAAGAACTCCCCCGAGAAGAGGAATCCCGCGAATTCAGTGCGCGCTACGAAACGCGCAGCTCGCCTGAGGCACCACAGAGCCGTCCTGCTCCAGGCTTTCCACAGGTTCCTGATTACCCTCCACAGGTTCCTGCTTACACTCCCCCGCATGGTTTTCAAACGGCTGGGGAACTGGGTAGGCCCACAGGCACTCCCGAACACTATGGGTTTCCTGTGGGACGCGGTTCCAGTAGGGATCTGGCTGAACAAGGGGCTTCTGCTTATCCTTTCATTTCTGATGCTCGTGTTTCCCAGAAGCAACCCGAGGATTTCCCGCCAGCGGCGCTCCATACGGGTTTTGCGGGTGCTGGCTCTCCTCAGCAGCAGTATGGCTTTCTTGGCCCTCCCGGGGCCCCTGTTCGCTCTCGAGCTCCCGAAGGTCCCCCAATTAGTTTGCCGGGCTTTCCTCAATCCAGCCATCACTTGGCTGGACCCATCGGAGGCCAATATTCTGAGCGGCTCCAGGTTCCTGGGCCTCCCGCTTCACCGAGGAAGATGCCGCCGGGCCTGTTTGCAGCCCCCGGCTACTTCCCTTTTAGTCGACCTAGCTTGCCCCGTGCTGGAGCTAGTTTTACTTCCCGTGCAGCTGCGGACAGCCCATGGCAAGTTTCGCCATCTGACTTTCCTGGCGCCTTTTCTTCACCTCCGCCGTTCATTCCTCCTGAGTCTTTCTTCCCAGGTGAACGCAGCCCGGAGCCCACCCAAGGCTTTCACTCTGGTGACACTTTTTCCCCAAGTTCTTTCTCAGTTTCTCCCCCGCCTGGCTTTGGAAGAAACGCCGGAAGGCGCTCCTTCCCTGCGGGCCACAGAGAAGAAGCCTCGTGGGCTGGTTTGCAGCACTCTCAGCCAAACCTAGGAGAGCTGCAGCGTAGTACGACGCAGTATTCTCGTGGAAATTCGGAAGAGGAAGTTCTGCTGGAATTGGGGGTAGGAAGTTCTTTGTTAGACTGGCCCGCGGGGGCGCTGAGAAGCCCCATGGCGGCAGTCGATGCAGGTGCTGCTTGGCAGACACCCTGGTCAACTCAAGACGACGATACTCCCCCAACTTATCGTGATACTTCTTCTGTTTTTCCTGAAGGGGGCGGCTGGTGGACAAGGAGTGCTCCCCGACCCCCCTCGCCGGACTTTGAGAAGGCCCCGGGATCCTCTTCGGCTAGGCCAACATGCACACGCTCCACGTTCAAAGGAATGGCTACGGGAGAGCCCAAGCCGGAGTCTTCTCACGGCAAGGAACAATAGCTGTCAGCTGCAGGCGAAGCAACTGCACTGCAAGACCTGGCATTTGATGGCCACGGCGGTTGTCTCAGCTCATCTCTGGAGTCCAGTGAAGACGAAGCCCCATGAATATGATGCGTTTTGGATTTTCACAACTCCACGGATACTACAGAGACACGAAAGCGGGCGTGTGGTCTGGAACGCCGTGGCGAAAAAGCTCAGACGGGCCACTGGTGGCCTTCAACTTCAACGTCGTTGCGAAGAGCCCAAGGCTCTCGGGAAGGTAATGCTTTTCTTTCTGGAGCCAGAAGGGCCTGAGTTTTCTTTGCGGGCACTTTTGCGGAACACTGTTTTCTTGTTGAATTACGCAGATGAAGTTTTCTCCCATTTGCACTCTCAGCGCTTGAATTGAACCTCCAGTAGAGGCGCTAAGGCAGACCTATAGAGGAGACTTTTCAATATCTACTATAGCAGTCCACGCCGTTACACTATTGAGGACCGATCTGGGCAAAATCAAACAAAAGAAGTCATTTTCCCACATTCGCACTAACTAGAGTGGGCAAAGGACTGCTGCCTCCTTATCTGCAGCAGCTACGGACATCAACGGGAAGCTGAAACTACTAAACTGCGGGAAAGTATGCGTAGTTTCATAGCTAGCCATGAAAGCCACAATGTAGTAACCTTACGTGTCACCCACGAGCCCCCGTTTCGGGGATTTGGCGCTGCCAAAGTTGCTCGGGAGGGAGCTTATTGAGGGTTTAGAAGCAATACTTTAAGTTGAATTGCTAAAAATACTTCCCTGAATGCAAGAAAGGAATTATCAGTCAAAAGCTTCACATGCGCCGGCCAAGTACCCACACGCCGTAGGCGCAGCAAAACATACCCACAGATAGACGCATGAAGGTTATATAAGAGGTAGTGGGCTATTTATATCTTATTTCCGAATGCAACTTTGGTCGAAATTCGTCTAATATCCACTAGATACCCCACAGCTACACAGCTGCTCACAGGCATTCCTGTTGAATCGTGCCCAGAGCGAGGGCAGTAACACGGACATTTCTATGCGATGTGTCTTTAGATATCCTGGAATATTAATTTTGCATAAATTTTATAATTGTGTGTGTTAGTCAAAGGCCCAAAACAACGCGCAGCAAGAAGCCAACTGCTGCAGGAGCACAAGCCCCGGTTTTGCAGGGAGCATCACAGCAGGAGCAGCTAGAGAAGCGGAGTAGCTACCTTTCGAACCAGCAAATAAAAAGCAGTCTTGAATTCATGAGAAAGCCTTTAATAGAGAAAAGAGCTTCCACAAAGCCAGCAGAGCCTGTCGCGCTCGGCCCGGACCACTGAGTTTCGCCGGCTAGAAAACGATGTTCTAGCGCCTGCTGGCTCCATTTTCAGTTTATTTGCATTCTCATTCCCTCTTTATTATATGGGGCTTTGAAACAACATTTGGAGGAAGCCAACGGGGGCTGCAGCAGCTCCTCGCCCACAAGTTCAGCGGCTGCACGCAGCCGCTTTGGAGGCTCTAGACGGCACACTTTGCTGAATTTCCGAAGCCTCAGTTACTGCAGCAGCAGCAGCAGCGGCAGCAGCAGCAGCAGCTGCAGAAGGTGACCTAGGCTCCCCACGCATTCGCCCGCTGCAGCGTTTCCGACAGCACTTCCGAGCTGTAGAAACACTCCAGCAGCAACAACGCGTGCAGGCAGGCCTTTGCTGCCGCAAAGGCAGCACCAGAAGCGCCTTGAGCAGCAGCAGCAGCAGCTTTTGCGTCTGCGTCACAGCCGCTGCAGCACCGCCTGCTGCAGTGCCCCGGGGCATCAGCAGCAGCCGCTTCACAGGCGCTGTAGCGGCGGCTTTTTAGGAGAGCAGCAGCAGCAGCAGCAGCAGGAACTGCGCGGGAGGCAGCAACAAAGAAGATGGCGTGCAGCTGGCCTTGCTGCGCAACATGCTGCTCGCTCTTGTCAGCATTTGGAGTCTTTTTTCTCCTGATTCTGGGGGCTCTGATGCAGCAGAAGTCCCCTGCAATTGAACTTGAGAAAAGTGTAATGGAAAAGCAATATTTGGCCCCCTACATATGCGCAGGTGTAAGCCTTGCTGCTGCTGCTGCTGCTGCAGTGCCACTGGGTGTTGCTGCATGCAGTCCTTGCCTGCGATGCTGCTGCTTCTGCTGCAGATATATTTCGTCTTTTTCGTCGTCAGCTGCATCTACCTGTACATACACTCCAGGAGAAAGCCGGCGCCAAAGCCTGGCCTATTTCCCCTGGGCTCGATGGCCGAGGCGGGTGGGCGTGACGCTGCAGCAGCAGTTTCTTTTGATAATCCTGCTGCTGCTGCTGCTGCTGCTGCTGCTGCTTCCGACATGCAAGGGTTCGTCGGGGCAAGCAGCAGCAACTCCCCAGCTGCTGCTGCAGGGCCCCGCTTCAAGGCGGAACAAGAGGGCAATGAAATGAAATGAAATATGACGCAGCTGGAAGCAGAAGCAGCGGCGTCGCTGCTGCTGCTGCAGCTGTTGCTGCAGCTGTTGCTGCAGCTGCTGCTGCAGCTGCATTTTAAGAGCCTGGTGACGCCCCTGCTGCTGGGGCCACACAAGAAGTGCAAGGCCACATTCTATGGCTGCCTATCTTTGAACAGCAGCTGCAGCACAAGTTGCAGCAGCAGCACGTTATTTTGCCTTGGACGACTGTTGTGTTGAGAGTGCAGTGTCGCAGCTGCAGCAGCAGCAAATGTTATTGGCTGCTCTAGGCAGCACATTGTGTTCACGCACTACTGCACCAGCAGCTTCTGATGCACCGTCGGCGGCAGCAGCGGCTCGTGCGTCTGCAGCAGCTCTCTGTGGTGCATCTGCTGCGCCTTTGCAGCAGGCAGCCGTTGCGGCTGCTGCCTGTGCAGTTGTAGCCGTTGCTGCTGCTGCTGCCCGTGCAGCTGCAGCCTCTGCTGCTGCTGCTTTTGTTGCAGCTGCCGGGGCACACGCCCTAGGCAGCAGCGAGCACGAATGAACTCTTGCGCAGTGTCTCAGAGTGTCTTTTCGTGCAAACAAATATGCGTCGCAACGCCAGCTACATTTGCTGCTGCAGCAGCAGCGCGCCGCAGGCTTCTACGCGAAGCAGCAGCAGCAGCAGCAGCAGCAGCAGCCCCTGTTGAAGCGCTGCAGCAGCTGCATCCTTAGGCCTCGCAATGTGTCAGCTTTACCCCCTGAACGTCGGCAGCAGCGGCCAGCCTGCGCATGCAGCAGCACCTCAGCAGCAGTAGCAGCTCCAGCATGCGCACAAGCGGTTGCTGGGGAGCGTGAGGCAGCTGCAGCAACAGCAGCTGCCCGTAACTGTTCAGCAGCAACAGCAGGAGCAGCAACAGCAGCAGCAGCAACTGTAGCAGAAACACCAGCAATATCTGCCCTAAGATTAGGCTGGTAGCCGCACTGCTCTGCTGCTTCTTGCTGCAGACGCTCCAGCCGGCCTAGAGCCGCCTGCTGCTGCTGCAGCAGCCGGCCGTATGCTGCTGCCTTTGCATGCCGCTGCTTGTCTGCTGCTCGCTTTTTGTCCTGTTGAACAGCCCATGATGCGGAGGTGTGCTGCATGCAGCATCAATATGCATGCGCGCAGTTCGCATCGGCAGAGAGCAGCAACAGCAGCAGTAGCAATAGAAGTAGAAGCAGCAGCAGCAGCATGCGACAAGAAACTGTATTTGAGGGGATAAAGGACTTACCGCCGGGTGGAACTCCAGCAGAATAATGCCGCCGTCCTCACGCTGCTGCTGCTGCTGGGTGCTGCCTTGGCTGCGCATAAACCGATTTTGCCTGGTCTGCTGCTGCAGTTGTTGCACTTGCTGCTGCAGCAACGTGCTGTTGCACCTTCGTGCGGCTCCCTGCAGCAGCTGCTGCTGTATTGCGTCGAGAGCTGCACACACGGCACATGATAGGGGGCGTAAGCATGCCTCCAAACAGGATTGGAAGCAGCCGTTTGCTGCTGCAGCAGCAACTGCTACCCGGGCACGGAAAGCCTACGAAAAATCGACCTTTGCTTCTTCTGCTCTTGCAACTTTTGCTGCACTGGCATGCACAGCTGTTTGTGCAGCACCTGGAACAGAAGCGGCGGCGGCAGCAGCAGCAGCAGCAGCAGCAGCAACTCTTGGCACAGTTTGCATGCGCAAGCGTGCTTACTGGCGAGGCGTCTTTGAATCTTTTCTGCAGCAACAGCCTCTGCTTTGGCCCTCCTCGTTGTTTCAATACGCGCCAGCCGCTGCAGCTGCTGCTGCTTCTGCTGCAGGTAGTTCAGTCCCGCTGCGCGCTTCTGTTCTTCTTGCTGCAGCAGGCGCAGCTGCATGAGCAGCACCCGAGGGCGGGACTGGCTCTCAGCAGATGCGTGCGGCCAATCTTGGTTGCTGCTGTTGCTGCTGGTGCTGCTGCCCAGCAGCAACGAGGCGTACGAACACCGATCCAGGCTCTCTGTCTCAAGCTCTGTCTGTGACATTTGTCGGTGGCTCTGCTTGCTGCTGCTGCTGACTTTGCTGCTGCTGTTGCTGCTGCCTCGAGAGGGCAGGGCCATTCCCTGGCTATCTTGCAACGGGCTGCTGCGCACTGTAGAATGTAAAGGCCCCTCCCTCCCGGCCTGTCCATTTGGGTCACAAGTCAAATCCTGGTCTGCTGCTGCAGCAGCTGCAGCAGCTGCAGCAGCTGCAGCAGCTGCAGCAGCACCAGCTGCAGCAGCTGCGGAAGCTGTGCCTTTCTCTGCAGCAGGGGCAGCATTTGAGGCAGGTGGCGCTGCTGGGTTTTGGGCTCTCAGGCTGTGGCTGCAGCTAGTGCTGCTGCTTGCGCCAGAGAGGCTGCTTGGCTTTTCAAGAGCTGCTGCTGCAGCAACACGAGGCAGCTTAGCGCTGCCGCGCCTCGGCAAGAGAGGTTGAGGGCGACTCACAGGACCACTGGTGCTGCAGCTGCTGCTGCTGCGTAGCGGTGGGGCTGCTGCTGCTCTCGCTGCTGCTGAAGCGGTTGCAATAGCCTTTCTGCTTGCTGCTACAGCAAGCCTCGCAGC